AAGTGGATGGTTCTCCCTCTTGACGTACTCATTCAGCTTGCTCAGGTTGACGCAGACCCTGACCTTGCCATTGCTCTTCGGGGTCACCACCATGGGAGCGCACCAATCAGTGGGTTGGTCAACTCTATTGACAAAGAGGTTTACTCACGATCAATGAAGCATGTGCCATGTGGGTTAAATCAAAAGAAAAAAAATAATTACCATGTCAAAATGTTTATTAAATTTTGTGTGCTGGTGCCTAAAACCAAAATTAACAACTGTAAAATGTACCTCAAAATCAACAGTTGTTTGCGAAAAGCCATCTTGCGACTTATTGCTTGATGTATGAAAGTGAGAGAAAACGTTTTAATACAATAAAGGACTGATTTGAAATTGACTTGAGATAACAATGGGCATTGTATAATACGTACATGTACTGTACTGATATGCAACCTACTTTATTTCCTACTCAAGAATATTTCTGCATCAACTCTTGGAAAGTGCTTTTTGGTTCAGTGTCTTGCAACTAAGGGGTGAATAAAATATGTTTTGTCATGCTAGGATAACTGAAAATACTAAAAACAATTCATCTTTTGTATAACAAAAGAACTCTGGGGCTAAATTGTCAAATGTAAAGACTAGCTACTAGCAGTCCCAAAACTAGTGGTGCATACCTAAGCATGTGAACATAATTTTGCAATTTCCGATGACTTGAAAACAAGAATCGTGTCTGTGGGGGAAGAACATAAATCAGTAATAGTCAAACTCACCTCTACAGCGATAAATTACCAATGGTTTCATCACTTTCTACCAATAACTGGCTGATAAACTCATCTCTTGATGCCTTAGAGAGAGAGGAAAAAAATGTTAATGAGATAAAACAAGTATTGTAATGAACACTATATCGAGGCTTCTCTAATTAAGTGAGTAATATTGATTCTTTTTGATTCACCAATTTGTTGCTTAGCAATGACGTCATTAGTTTTTACACGCGGACGTATATAGATAATGTTAGCGGCATATTCCCGCCAGTAGTTCAAGTTTCAGTTATCGTGTGTGCACAGTACGTGTTTTCAAGTCGATTAAGTTTTAAGCTACCCTTGACTATTTAGAGTGCAAGCGGGAACCGATGTGTAAGTACAAACTATTTTCTATGCTTGTTTTTAGTGTAAGTTTTGACATTTTTTAACCTTAAGTACCTTTAGTCTCGGTTTTTTGTACAACAGCCTATTGTAAGTCCAACACGTGGCAGAGCCCCAGTTTTCAAAGTTTTTATTTCATCCTGTTTTAGTGATAGATCTTCATAATTTACACTCTCCCTAGCTTAGGTTTCTATTTAGCAACTTTCCTATAAGAATCTCTGGTAATTCAGTTAAAGTCCTTTCCTTGCTAGTAAATTCCCACATCGCTTTCAGTGGCACTCACGCAAGCACGTTTTTATTGCATTGTGCAATTTTATTGTTTTCAAGATTTTAGAGTGTTATCATGTATTGTATTAGGACAGTTAGCAGTATGCGTATCTGCTTGAGATCACTGATGATTTTAATTGTATCTTTACTGAGAAGTTTGACTGGAAGTATTGTCATATCGCAGTTATGATTGGAATGTTTGCTATTATTGTTTCATGACTCTTGTCATCTTGTAATCTTCTATTATCTAGTAATTAGTTTATTCATTGCATTATATTTCAGTTTACGCTCGATTATCATCAATTAAATCACCATCAATCACAGCTGATTCTCCATGATCTCTGGCTTTTTTCGATTAGTAAAGCATCTTTCACATACGCTAGTCTCATTGCGACAAGTTGTCTAGCAAGTGACAATTCAGCCTTTCAACAGTCGCCATGAACCTGACGTTACAGGTATTGTATGTGAGTTATGAAACTCAATTCTCTTCAAAAGCATTACTTTTCGGTTCGTTACCATTTAGCTAAGCCATGAATAAAAATAATAGAGTTTGTCCAACTATGATAACTGAAAATGCAAAACACTTCAACTTCTCAGTGAGCTATATGTTAAACATACCATTACAGATGTATCGTGAACCATCGCGATGTCCGAAATAGTTTCTTCAGTTGTATAGTCTGTGGGGAGCTAAAAGGATAACACACAACGTTAGACCAGAAAAAAGGCAGGGAGATGAACGAATGTATCCACAAACGAATCAATCTTAAAACACTTTTACTTACTTCAAATTCAATATCTTGAAGACTGAGCTCCACGAATCTCTCAAAATAGAAACGAATCAACTTCTTGGGAATTTGAACAGACCCTGCAAACTCTTCTAGCTCTTTCACAGTGGAACACTCATTCAGCGTCATTTTGATTTCATTGCAGTTGCCAAAAACCATCGCAACAAAACTCACTTGTCTTTAATCTACAAGAATCTTGTAAAAGCTGTCCAAAAAAACTCAAATGTGAAACACTTATAACTCAAATATTTTGAAATACAATAGATTGATGACAGCCAATCAGCATTGGAGTTGAGCAATATGTCTCAAACAATCACTGTCATTTTTGTCTTTCTCTTCGCACCCTTTGACATAATTTATTTCGTAATAAATTAACAAAAGACCGTCAACTTCTCTTGCTTTGTGACTTCATCGCATTCTGGCTGCCCACTTCACGTAAATGGCTGCCCTTCAAAGGGGTGCCAATCATGCACCCCTCACTACTTTCTTACCCATGATCATGAGAGCTTGAGAGAAGAGAGAGGAATACTGATAGATGAAATTTGCAAGAGACAGGGTTGGAAAAAGGAAGGGTCTGACAGAGATATTCAGACAAGCATTAGACATGAAACGTATCAGTTGATATTGTAATGGATATCGTGTTTTGATCACCTCTAGTTTGTTTACTTTTTTGTGTCGCACTGAAGTTGATAAGATCTTGCAAAGAAAACCAGATGAAAACATGAACCCAAAACCCATGAATTGACCGTTGTCAACCTTATCAAAGCACTTAACTTTGTCAACTCTATTTAACACGTTTTAAGGTGCTTTTTAACCTCATGTTAAAACACAATGGCATTTGTACAAATACCATTTGGACCCTTTGGACATTTTTAGCAGGGATACATTTTGACAAATATCTGAACTGAAGTTTGGACAAATGCTGAGACCTAAAACTTGGAGAACTGTCTTCTTTACTTAATTATCTTCCATAGCATAACAATTTCTTGAATTTATCCACTGAATAGTGAAAATGAGAAATATAAAAATAAGCTACTGAAATATTTGCCACACAATTTGTAGGAAATGACACTGTACTTTTCACAGCAATGACATTAAGAATTGTAGAGCCTAGATTTTCCTCCACATCATCCATTTGCCTCATAAAAGTAATGGAATGTACACATTGTAGCACATCATTTGTGTAAACAGCGGTCAGCAGTCTAAAATTTAATAAAATGTAAATAAACTGAGAAATGTTCTTAATGCTAGAGATCTTAGTGACCTGTATGCACTTAACCCTTGTTCCAAAGTTCTTTCCAGTTTGAAAAGACTTGACTATAGAGTTATCAGCCAAAAAATATCTCTCATTGTATAATGTCGTGTTCTTCAATTAATGACAAGTTCTTGTTGAGGTTTTGGCTGAAGGGTTTTGTCACATACAATATAAAATATCTTGGCATCTGGTGAGATCTCTACCCAAAGTTTTCTGGCTTTACAGGGGGTGATAAATGAGTACATTTTCTTCATTACAGAACCTCAATATTGTGCAGGGTATAACCACAGAGAATATTATATGGTGGCATAAGGTTATAAATTTTATTTTGCAGTTGTGAAAACAATATTCCAAATGCATGCAGCAAGAAAAATATTGTTCAACACAAGAAAATAAAATTTGTATCTTCAAGCACTGTGTTATTTTTATTATTTTTATTATTATTATTATTATTATTATTATTATTATTATTATTATTATTATTATATAGATGAGTCTATCACTCACCATTTTCACTGACTGTTTTCATAAACAACCATGAAGAAAGGGAAATAACATCGTCTATACCTATAAAATGTCCCACTGGATGTGATTACGTATGAATTTTTGTAGTCGATTATTTTCTAGTAAAACAGTCACGTCTGTGTTATAAATATCTATTAACTATATTCACCTTCCTAGCAAGAGACAAGAGTATGTTATCCATAAACATTGAAAATCCCACATGCTGACCGTAACACTTGTGATAAACCTGAAAAAAAATCAATTTGTGTCCAGACAAACAGCTGTCATACATACATACATACACTCATACATGCATACACACACACATACATACAAAATATGTTGAGACTACTCCGACCTCAAGTACATATGGAGTTTAATACAGCTCTGTTTTGTAGGCTAACAAAAAGTTAGCCCACTCATCAGTTAGTTTCCATATACACTGAAGCCTACTAAAATACAAATCAACAATATGTTCGCGCAAGACGCAATAAACCGTTAAAACAGACCGTTACAAAACATCGTAAAAAACCATTACAATCAATCGTTGCTTGTTTGAATGTACTTTTAAAAGTTCAAAACTTATGCAGGTGCATTGAACATGTTAATATTTTAAGTGCCAACATGCATGCACTGGGGAAACAGAATACAGTTAGTTAACTATATCTAGTAAGAATGAACTTTCACCAGTGCCAGCATTATCACACCAAGCCAGAAGAGCGTGCAACTGCAGGGAGAAGAACAAATGCCCCTTAAAAGGAAACTGCCTTTCTGAAGGAATCATTTATCAAGCCAAGGTGACATTTGAGAGCAAAACCAAAACCTGTGTACGGCTTACAGCCACTGAATTTAGGCAAGGTTTAGAAACCATCAGGTGTCGTTCAACAATGAAAAACACAACAACAACACAGAACTTAGCAAACACTTCTGGCAGCTTAAAAGCAAACAACAACACTACATCATGAAATGGAAGATCCTTGCCAAGGTGAAACCCTACTCAAATCTGATGAAGCGATGCAACCTATGCACCACTGAGAAGCACTTCATCATCATCAAACTGAAACTGGCAACACTAAACAAACAAAACGAACTAATTTCTTCATGCTGGCACCCACAAAGTTCATTCTTAGATATGCTAGCACTTAAAATATTAACATGCTCAAAGCATGCGCAGAAGTTTTAAAATTTTAGAACTACATTTGAAAAACGAAACTTAGTAAAAAGGTTTTGATATATCCTCTTTCCAGCAGCATTGATAGTTTGTCATTATCTTAACCACTTCATGGCTAGAAAAGAATGATGTACCTTTCAAAATTGAAAGGACCTGAGCTTCATAGTGGAAGAAAGTACTGGACATACAGCTTTTTGCAGAACCCTAACCCTTCTTGTGGGCTTAGACAATAATGTGAGTTGCAATGGTGAGAGAATGGCAGACTGTAATAAGGAACACAAGGATGTTGCTCTGATGATATATTTCTATTTGGGCAAGCATGAATTTATTTCAGAATTTTTTCTTTGAGAATGTTCAGTTCTGTTTGATTGGAAGACACATGTAATTTACAATCATTACATATACATTAATAACATTTCTTACGTCACTAACATTACTTACAATATTTACATTACTTACAGTATTACTTACAATATTATTGTTACTTGCTATACTAACATTACTTACTTAATAATATATATGAAAAAATTACTCGATTCTGATTGGCTGAGAGCAGTGCAGTTCAAGCATGACACCAGTGCAAATTACACATTGTAATTCTGGATTATGATTGGCTGAAAGACAATAGGAATTTTTCTAAGCCAATGATACCACGTAAAATGATGACAAAATTTTTGTGCAGCAACTTTGAAAAAAATCTTCCAGCACTTCCTCCACGTGAATTTTTGGTTCAATACAAAGCGTGGACCCCTCAATCTGGACCCCCTAGTGGACCCCTTTTGGACCCCTTCTGGACCCCCTATTTTTTCTTCCAGAAAGTATGGGGTCCTGATTTAAATAATTAAACTAAGAACACAACATGATGAAGTCCATTTAATCAGTGAGCAAAATGTGAAGAAATTAATAAATTCACACAGCATTGTGTTGAGAATAATATAATGGCTGCCGCCGCAGCTAACCTGGTTTAATTTTTTAGAAACCTGGTTAAAATTCCCAAATAACTTAACTCAGTTAAAGGTTGGTTATGATGAAACAACGGGGTTATATTCTATGAGTGGCCGCACTGAAATAGGAAGTGGGTGAACTCAATTGATGTCATGAGATAAACCAACAAAACAACAGGCTTTGAGAACAACAGTCTTTTATTTTCTTGATTCTTTTCTTTGTGTTAGTGCCCTTCAGTTTCTTTACATTCACAGCTAAGGCAGTCTCCACACCTGTTACATTTGGAAAATGCACTTCACTTAACATTGTTCACAAATTCATTCATTCATCTCCAATTCTTGGCATTTTAACATACTGCCCCTTCCCTTTAACGTACTCGTGTTCTTTGCGGAGGTCAATTAAAATTTCTCCACTCTAAGGTGAATGCGCATTTCCTGTTCAGACCATGGTTCAGATGTAAAGGTTCCTTGCAAACTCACATACTAGGAGAAAACTAGAAATCCGCTCTAGTAATACAACTGTTTTGAACTGTTGTTACCACTCACCATGTTCAGTAGGAGATTATCCACCTGTTTGTGCCAAGGTGAACAACATCTCACACAGACCGTCATGACTGACATATTTCAGGAAAAAGCCAACACACGGCACTGATAAACCATTTGCAACATGGGTGAGGAAGAAAACTCTGGTGGTGGAAGCTTGGGCACAACATCGCAAACTTTACTGCCTCAAACATCAATGTTTCATCAGATCATGCCACCTAAACCTCTTGCTTTGAAACTCAGCAGAGAAGTAGCCGAAAATTGGAAGCTTTGAAAGGAAAAATACAGCAACTATTTTGTCATTTCTAGACTGAATCGAGAGAGTCCGGAGTACCAGCTAGCGATATATAAGCATACGATTGGAGATGATGCTTTGAAAGTTATCAAGACGTTCAGTTACACTGAAGCCAAGGGCTCGGATAATTGGCACGTGGTAATGGATAAATTGGAGAAGTATTGTATTGGAGAGGTCAACCAAATTATTAGAGGTATTGCTTTAACAAGCAAGATAAACTTCCAACCGAGTTGGTGGATAGTTTCATCACTGAATTGAAAACATTGGCCAAGACGTTAAATTTTTGTGATTATTTGTGGGACAGCCTAATCCGTTATTGTGCTTGGAAATAAAAACGAGCAGACCACCAAGAAGCTTCTGAGAATAAGAGATCTTGCTTTGAATTGGTGTATCGACATATGCTGCAGTGAGGAAGTTACAGAGTCACAGATGAAGTCACTGTTGGAAGACAACATTAATCAGGTCAAGTCAAAGAAGAAAAAGCCTCAAGTTCCGAAGCCAGATGGATAGTCGGGAAGAAAATTTTGTGCAAATTTTGTGGCTATGATCATGCCCTGGAGAGAAAGAAGTGTCCTGCCTGGGGTAAAGTATGTAAGCAGTGCAAGAAAAGAATCATTTTGCAAAAGGATGCAAAGATGCCGCAGTTTACGCCATCAAGAGTGATGAAGACCAGGAAGAGGTAAGTGTAGTTACGGTTCAAGCTATGAAAGATAAGGCTGTGTTTGCTGAAATGGGGTCCAGAAGTAACTTGTCAGATTTCAGGTTCACTGTGGAGCTAATGCTAACATTTTACCATACAAGCATGTGGAAAAAGTGGATCTTGCTCCTTGTTCCCAGTCCCTTGTTATGTGGAATGGCACCAAGGTCAAGCCTGTGGGACGTGTGCTCTGCCAGTTTTAAAACCCCAAAACACTATGAAGTACAAAGTAAGGTTCCTGGTTGTCAAGGAAAGTCTAACTCCACTTCTGGGTTTGAACGTCACCGAGAAGATGGGTTTGTTAACGATGCGCAAGGAGAACTTTATGAGTGTTGTGGAGAATTTGGAAGATGATCTGATTATCAAATATACCAATGTGTTTGATAAGTGCCCTGGCAAGCTTCCTGGAAAGGTTCATCTACAAGTGGATCCGGCTTGTCAACATGTAATCCTCCCAGCCAGGAAAGTACCCGTCTCTGTCAGAGAGAAATTCAAGGCAGAACTTCAAAGGTTGCAGGATGTCAAGGACATTGCTCCAGTCAATGAACCAACGGAGTGGGTCAGCCAGTTCATTGTCCCTGTGAAGAAATCTAGTGAGTTACGGGTTTGCATTGATCCTAAGGCCCTAAATGCTGCCCTGAAGAGGGAAAGATACCAGATTCCTGTTATTGACGAGTTGCCACCCAATCTAGCAGAGGCTCCCGTGTTCACTAAGGTTGATCTTGCATTTATCTTTTGGCATTTGGTGCTGGACGATGAGTCTAGTCTGTTGACAACTTTTGCGACTGTCACAGGAGATACCACTGGCTTTGTTTGTTGTTTGGTCTCTCTCAAGCAAAATTTTTCAGAAGCATTTACACCAAGAGCTGTTGGGTCTAACAGGTGTGAAGTGTATTGCTGATGACATCTTTATTTATGGAAGAGATGATGGTGATCACGATGGTAACCTGGAGGGCTTCATGAAGAGGTGTCAGCTGAGGGGCATAAAGCTCGACCACATGAAACTGGATTACAAGTGTGAGGAAGTCACCTTTCATGGGCATCTCTTGACAACAGAAGGCCTGAAGCCAGATCCGCAGAAAGACAGAGTGATTGTTCAAATGCTACGACCTGAAAATCCAGGTGATGTATCACATCTAAATGGTATCAATGGTTAATCACCTCAGTTGTTTCCTGCCAAACCTGTCTGACATGATGAAACCGCTCCGTGACCTGACACGTAAGGACATAGAATGGTGTTGGTCCGACACGTAAGGACGGGCTTGGAGTGAGGTCAAGAGCCTCATTGCGGCTGAATCTCTTCAAGTATTAAAAGCCGTGATTCAGAAGGGCTGGTTCGAGCATAAGAGTAACCTACTCAGTATTATCTCCCTTACGTCAACATGCGTGACGAGATGTCAATCCAGGATGGCCTCATCTTCAAAGGAGAGCGAGTTGTGGTTCCACGTGCTTCTAGGAGCAAGCTCTTGAAGTGGATTCACAGCTCACATCTTGGGGTCAATAGCTGTCTAAACAGAATGCATGAGTGTGCGTACTGGCTCGGATGACAGCCGACATTAAAGGGGCTAGGTCACACAATTGTAGGCAATTTCAGTAC